CTGCAAAGGGCCCAGGCCCTCAACTGTAGACTTGGGCCTGGGCGCAGACATTGGGGCCCGACCGGAAGCTACTGGAAACTTCCTCAGCCAGGCCCCGAGAGGAGGCAACAGGGCAGTGACTCCCATATAGGGAGAAGGACAGCGTGGGAAGAGGATTCAGGCCTTAGCAGGGGATGCGGACACGCTGCGGCGCTACGGTGCTGGTGTCTGTGTTAGCTGGCTGGACAGGCGCTGAGGTGAGGGGCGCTGCAAGGGCACCGGGGCGCACAGGAGCCATAGCCGGGCTGCAGGGGTGTGAAGGCAGGTGATGGCAAAGGTGGTCTTCGGGTAGGCGGCTCATGAGGTGTGGGGACCAAGGGGTAAAGAGGGGAGACGAGAGAACGCACCTGGTGTATGTGGGAGGTCGGCATTGGTGTTGACGTCATGTACATTGGTCTAAGACGGCGAAGTGAGCCTGTTGCACGAACGTAGATAGGATAGATAGGCAGAGTAGAGTAGGCTGGGCACTGGGAGCTGGGCGCCATACAACTGGAGGGACATTGGATACTGCGTTGATGTGGCCTGAGGGCTTGGACATTGGCTCATGAGTTCATTGTATCGCTCTGCTGTGTACACGACTATCTGGACTTCTGTGTGATTTTGCAAATTGGTTTTCTATTTATCCCTCTCGCTCATATTCCTTGCAATTTGGTATCAGAGCTGGTTCGACCGCCATCACTTGGCAATGGCGACATTGTTACTTGGTGCGCTGACGAAGCTTCTACTCAGTAAGGATACATTGGCGCTGGCATGTTTGGGCGACACCCGGGTAGAGGGGTGCGTCGCCGGAAGGCTGTGGCGACAGCGTAGGAGCTGCGGCGACAGCAGATGTATGTGTGATGATGAGAGCATGCTGATGTGGCATTTGGGCTGAGGTGGCACTGCATTGCGTTGTGGGTGGTACCAAGGCTATGACCGGTCATCGAAATGCACATTGGCTCAATTGGTGAGAAATATGTGGTTAGGGGCAGCTATCTTCAGATACGTTGTGCCCTTACCTTATCTTCCCTCTATTTCTTCTTACCGTGAGGAAGTGAGTCCAACCTTGAGTGTCCTCTTTTGAGTAAGGAGTCGTGAGCGCTCTACCTTGAGAGGCGACGTTCTTCCCGGTGGCGCATCTTGCAGGAGAGGGTGGTGCCTCTGAAGGGTCCTGGTCGAAGCACGGGTCACGGTTACCATGCCAACCCATGGGAGCAGTACACGCAGGCCATGCTGCTTTGTCCTTTCAGGCTCTTTATAGACGGATCGTGGACTGACCAGCCCTATGCAGACGCATACCAGAACGTCTATAATTATTTCTGGCAGTGTTCTGATCCGTACACTGGCTGTGATCGTTGTCCTGTCTGCGACGTCAAACAATTCCTGAGGACCTTGGGGGCTGTCCTTAAACTGCCTCCTGAGGACCTTGGGGGCTGTCCTTAAACTGCCTCTTGATCA